GGTTTGACAGATAAGAATAAGATAACAGTCCACATCTGTACTAGGATAAATATTTGCGGAAATTATTAAAACAAACCCACGCTGGAACGCGGCGTTATTAAACTGAGACGAGATAGTTTTTCGATTAACATGTTATGAATATTTTGTTGTTCATACTTATATGGATACTACTACTTATGTATAAACGTACGAAAAATAATTTATGAGATATTGAGATATATTATACATATTACTGACGTACATTGTAAATAAACATTATATGTAAAAGTGAAATTGATGTAACATTACAGTTTCCCCAACAATACATTCCAGTATCACAATGCACTTCACACGACCATTGTAAGGGTATTGACATACCGTGTATACATTTATCACAACTGTTTACGTTGGACGAAGAGATGCAAATCGTTAATTTATCGCCACCTTAAGAAGCACAATATAAAACAAACCGCAAACTCAGTTCAAAGACCTATCATGAACAGTTTGGTTAGTATTTGAACAAGTTAAGTGTTCCTTGCATTTACTAACTGCTGCTATAGAGATTGACAGCGTAATAGCATATATATGTAAACTGACGTATTAGTTGTTTACAGACTAAAACTATACCTAACTATCAATATCGCTTGCTACTCGTGAGGCAAGATGTTACGTTTATTTGTTGTTACTCTATGTATCCATATTACACCTTTGTTTTATGACTGTAACTAAGGTCAGTGTTGAATGTGTTCATCTAACTCATATGTGAATTATTAATTTATATTGTTTCAATAATATTTTATAGATATCTCAAAAATATTTTAAAAGTACGTTTATCCTAACAATAATATAAATAAAATCAAAGATAATAAGATTATATTTAAATCAGTATAATTATTGTGCGTAATCGGTCAGTATCACAAGTAAGGTAAGCAATAAGACAGACTATAGGTACTAATGGTAAACATGCAATGAGGCTGTTAAAGGGTCTTTATAACATTTTATAACGTTGTAAACCCACCGTAGGATTTTAGGATTAATTTGATTACAGTCAATTATTCACAAAGCGATCGATGCTCGTTCCATTATTTTTTTTGTTCTACACTAATAAGCCGAAAAGTATCTAATTTGGATGTCGGCCTCTTTGCTGCCAACAAATTAAACCACTTTAGCGTATCGCTATATAAAATAAAACAAATATAAACAATCCATAATTAAGTGACTTTAAAACGATTCCATAATATAAATCAAATGATTTGATAATGTTTGCATGGCTCAAGTTTCTCGAGATTAATATAATACCGTATATAAAAATTTTAACGTAGGTACCGACGGTCGTTTAAATGATGTTTGAACATGGAATAATCTGGAGATTATGAAAATTAAATTAAGATAACAAAGCTGTCGGGACGGCTTGCTATCTGCGCGGGCGCTGCAGTAAAAGTTTATTGTAATACGAGCCTCAAATACGAAATTGAATAATTCTGACCTATCCCGCGACCGCCCCGCTCATAAATCACCGAGATATTTATGTCCCCCCCCCCTCCTCCCTCCCCCCTCCAGCCCCCTCCTTCCCTCGGTAGAGCCTTATACAGATCCAAGAATATAAAATATTAAATAAAAACATACATAAAATTGTGAGTAATTCCGATTGGAATTGGAGAAGAGCTAAGGTGCGGTCGCGCACCTATTCTGTGGTTTGCACAGCTAGCCAACAAATCAAAAGCTTAAGTGTTTTTACAATGAAAATATTCTATTAGCAGTCAACGTGGTGGATCTGCTAACATTTTATTGTATTTTTAAAACTTTTCAATTAAAAACCCAATAGTTATTTAAAACTTATAAGTTGCAAAACAGTAACCGAACGTTTAGAAAATTTGTTGTAAATGTTGTCCAAAAAAGCGTTATAGAAACTTCTACATCTGATAGAAAATAATTAAAATATAAAATGTATAACTAAGATAAATTAAAACATAATAACTCATATCTTCTTCACATACATTAATATAATTTAAAAAACGATCTTCATACATAAAATAAACGTGGAATTCATTTCGAAATAGTCCCGAACCGATATGCATTAACTTTACTTATATTCCTACTTATTCATGAGAAATAAATAATACTATTAGAGGAAGATACCGATTCCTGATAAAAAGTGGGTCCGAGTTAAATGGGAGGCACGGTGGAGGCAGAAAGAAAGTAATGGAGGCACATCGAACCGGTTTTAAAAGATTTTTACGAATGCAAGGCTGCTTCGAGCCGGCTATGTGCAGCCCGGGGCTGGCACATAACATTATAGTCGGCGGATTCGCGCCGGTTCGGCCTTTCTTGTTCCACATACATATTACATACGATTGTCTGCAGATCTTCATTGATTTATTAATATGCTAACCTAACTGCACTCCATACCACATTAGTCTGGTATAATATTTGCCATTTAAATCGACCGTAAGTCAATGCAATTATTTGCGAATGACAAGTCAAATCATCCTTGAAAGTATTTATTTAAGAGATGCTAACGGAATCAAAATATTTAATAAGATATGTAGTTTCGTTAATCGATTTCGACTTTTGAGGTAAGCGTAAACATATCGTAACGTTAAATCGATTTGACTGTTATCAACATCGATGAATCTAGATTGACATAACAAGCAACTGAAACACTACCTTCAATAAACATGTCTTAAATTATTCGAGAATTACAAGTAGATTTATTCATAGCTAATTATAATTTTATTAATTTTTTGCGTGAAATGGAATCATATTACTTGTCATTGTCAATATATTTTATTGTTTATTGAAATCTAATGTCACTATGCATGCATGCAAGTCATGACAAATAAGTAACTAAATATGACAGGATTCAAATTATATTGATATGTATCTATATATTTTTTCTATTTATATAAGCATATGCAATATGCATTTCCAGCTATGAAATACAATTGAATTAATTTATATGTATTTCATATTTATATTATTGTTGCAATATATTTTATCATTTATGCAATATGAGCTATACGGTATTATAGTTATATACAATCGTTTTAATAATGTTATAAATATGATTGATTTTATAATAAACTTTACTATTCCTTATTAAAAAAAATCTATATAAATATTTTACTAAACTATATTAAAACATTCTGCGTTGTAACGAAACGCCATTATATTTTATTTTTTTTCACCACAAGCAAGTTTAGATTATTCCGCTTCATTATATAAAAATTAATTTATTCATTTACGTAATACCTGACCTATATGTTGGAGGAAATTCTGAGTGTGTTGATGGCGAATGTATGTTTGTTTGTCAACACAGCCGATGTTTGTCGAGCCATTAGAGCGAGGCCGCGCTAAAACACTACAAGAATTAAAGTACTGTGTGCCTATTAGATGATTTAGCCGACAAAGGAATTTCGACATTTCAAATATCGATTTGTGAAATTAAATAAATTATATATGTTGAAATATATTCAACCTTTTTCGTATCCTTCGGCGGTATCTTAAATGAATTAAATATTAATTAATGTATTAATATTATAAAATTGTATCAATTATTTATTATTATTATTTTTTTATATTTCTATAGGAAAAGAACGGCTTTGAGTATGGTACTAATATTTATACACTTAAAAAGAAAATTCAAGATCATATCTTGGGCACAAACGTTAGACACTTAATAAAGGCTTAACCAATGGTTATTTCAATGCTTCTAGTATTATGAAAAATATGTTTTCTTTTTATAATGAATGTTAGGTCAATCTAAATTCGGCAAATGTTGATGTTATACTATCGTGATATAAATATTATTCGCGTTGAACAAAAGTCAAACATAATGTATCATTTGTTTAAATGTCAGATGTTTTTTTTTAATATTACGTATTCGTTCAAAAATAATTAATTATTTAAAAGAAAATAATTTAAATTATATGCTTTGGAATCTGTATATTTAATATGAATAATTTTTATTGTAATTATTCCACTGATATTTGTAATTAAAACGTTTTAAAAATATATTGATTTTAATGTTTAATTTTAACCAACGTTGACAAAATAAAATAAATTTTTCATTTATTTTTTTATTTTTAAATATCGACATTCTACAGTGTAGGCAAAGACGTTGTTTTTTTTTTACTTTAAAATAGTTAATTACTTATCATAAAGTTAAAACAATATTTTAGAAATACTTATTAATCTACTTAGTTATCATATAAAGAAAAAATATTTTTCAGACAAAATTTTCAGTTTTAGAGATCAAAAGTTTTACAGTCGGTAAATTTTCAGAATAGTTCAGTGGGAGAAGCGTGATGATGTGTTTCCCTAGAAACGCTAATATGATTTACATCATTTTAAGACACGAATGACGAAATGTTTACCGACCTTTGGTTTTCTATTGTACATATAACTCTTACCTTATGCAACGGATTCGGATATTTTTACTAATAACTTTATTTTTTTATATATTTACAGGCAATAAAAACATAAGTAGCAATTTCCTCAGTTATATATAATGCAAAACTTTTATAATTATTTACGTAACGCAACACAAACAATAATGAATATCCAAAACCAAAAAGGACAATGCTTTTTGAAAACAACAAAAAGGTTCCCGTAAGTTTTATTAACAAGTTAACAAAACGTCAATGACAACGCATGGCTCTGAATGCCCAGTTTTATGATGGCAATATATTTAGCGAGCATGGCATCAAAATTAAAAAGAATTCATCATTCATCAATTAGTCACAGAGACAATATGATGTTTGTCACTGCCTGTGTAATTGCAGTGCTACAATCGTAACACTCGCTACGAAGCTACCGTAACGCCCGCAATTTGTGCCCATTGTTCATAGCCCGTTAATATTTACACCGGCGATTGTCCCTACCCGCGCACTCAGATGTTTTCAAAACAGAAGACGTTTCATGAAACCTATTGTCTCGAAACAAACTTTCAACAACCGTACTTATTGTGAAAAAATAACAATTATAAACGAAGGAGTAGATTTTATATTATATATCCTCACCTGTGTCATGAGCCGATCTGCTCCTGTGCCTTCTTCATCCTTGAAGTCTATATCCGGATTATAATTAGGCACTAAGTCTTTGAATTTCTCATCGTTTCTAGTGATACGTCCCTCCGGGGGACCGCTGGCTGACTTGGAGTTCTCGTTGATGTTGGGGTCGTGCTGGTTGAACACTAGGGGCGTTATGCGGCGCGGTCCGTGGCGGCGGGTGAAGCCGCGGCCCGGGCCACAGGCCGCCGCAGCGCCCAGCCACAGTAGCACCAGAGTTAGCCTCATCTCTCCGACATCACTTCACGCGCGTCCGACGCACGACCACCGCGCGCCGCGATTTGAGCGACACTGAGACTTGAGACTTGGCCTCCGCCGGTTCCTTGGCTCAACCACTAACAATGACTGCAAACTGCATCCCTTGACAACACAACCCGCCGGCAATGGTGGTTACATGTTAACCCGCCTTTACATTACATAGTTGCTACAATATTATCAAAAAAATATCAATAACGTTAAAATATATTTATTCTACTATACTATATATTTTTTTTATCATAACATTGTTATCCGATTCTCATATGCAATTGAATGAAACCATTAATTTGTTTTTTGTTAACATTCAAGAACATAAATCAAAAATCAATTTATATTATAAAGGTCAGACTTAATATTTAGATTAGGCAGAACCTATTATGGTTTAACTTTTATTGTTCCTAATCTAAATATAACAAGCTATTGTCAAAATTCGTACATATTATGCATTTAGTTTAGGCTTGCAGAAATATTATGAATCATATTACTTAAGAAGAAATAATTAGTCTTTTATTTATCGTATTATGAAATTTAAAAACGTATTTTATAAAAGAAATATTGTAATAAGTAGACAAAATTATATTTTTTCAGCTACAAATATTGATGAATTACTTATCATACTTATACCTAAGTTCCAATAACATTTCTATGAAAAACAAAATTAATTCATATATTTTTTATATCTGGGAAAGACTGCTACTAAACATAAGAAGAATCAACAATTATTGAACGTCAAACATAATTATTAAACAATTATTTAAAGTGAAAGTAATAATAAAATATAAACTTAGAAAAATTTAATATTATCTTAAATTGTCAAGTGAATTTTTCTTTAAATAATCTCCTTATAATTTCATATTTTCTTTCATTATCATCCGTAGGATATAAACGAATTTGTATAATTGAATACTTAAAAATACAGAGTCCTTGGAAGTTTGAAGACCCTTCTTACGAGACGGGTACTTGAGAAATTTTCATCAAAAATAAATGCGTATAATATTTTTTTACAGTCTTAATTAAATTGAAAATAAAATCCAATGCAGTCCTTATGTTCAAATAAATCTTTTTAAATGAATATATAATTATTATTTTGTCATCGTAATATCTAAACAGAATTTGAAAACTTATATATTTTATTAAGAAATTTATTTAGGATCTTTATACATATTTACCAATAATACTTAGTTGGATAACAATCTGATTTCATTAAAATATAAAGCAAATAGATGTCATTATATATAAAAACTCAGAAATGTAATCGTTACTACTATATTTATTCCATCAAAATCAATAAAAATTAAATAACGATTTTTTGGTACATACTTTTCACAACAATACTTTGTATATATCTATCCTACATTATTAACTTTACTAACCAAATTACTTTAATATATATGTCAATAATAAAGATTACTATATGCCAAGCGTTTCATAATATTTAAATGAATATGAACATTTAAATTTTAATACGTAAAGATTTAGCCTTTGTATGTATATAATATTTTTTGGTATTTAAAATATATATATACCTATATCAAACACTAATTATTCAATTTTTACTCCATGATATATATTTCGTTATCTATACGTATATTAAATAACAAACCTATTTTATAACAAAATTATTTGGCATTGAAACAGAAAACCGCTAACGATTCATTGTATATATGATATTGTGCAAAACTGCGGTTATTCGAACACAACCAGAGATGTAAAATAACCTATATATAATCATCAATATATTATTTATATATATTAATTAATATTTACCATATCATTAATCAAGTGACGTAATTAATATAAAAATAAAAGTCAAGCCATTTAAAAGAACCGGTAATATTTCATTATGATGAAAGAAAACTGAATTGTTAGTTTTTCTGCTGCATGTAGTCGTGATATGAATTAAGTGACTAAAACCCGTCATAAACAATGCTAAGTTATAGCAATTGTATTGTTTTTATGTTTTCATATAAATGCAATCCACTCAAAAGATACGCAGCTTCTGCCATGACTGAAATAATTCTGTATTAAAAGGTCAATAATCCCATTTTTTTTAAATAATTGCGACGACAGAACGACTGGAGCTTCCCTTTCAGCTTTGACCTAAAAGAGAAATTGTTTACGCTGTAATTTATAAGCACATTTACATAACATAGTTTGTCCGTTTAGGAAGATTTGTAAGCATTGCGATGAGGTTTACACAAAAGACGCATAATCGGATCGTAAGTCAAATAACATGACGCTGCTCGCGTCAGCTCCAAAGACTAAATTTAAAACAAAATTATGATAAAATTTTCTCATTTGTTGAATTCATTCATGGTTTGAATGATTTGAAATTCATAAGTCAGTTTAATTTCTTACGTCACTATTATTTAGTCTCAGATTTTTTTAAATATTGCTTCATTCGCATTAGAATCGTGCAATATTCTGCCAATGTCATAGTGTCTCAGATTTAATAATATTTCTTGAATACGAGAATTGACATAAAGATAAAAAAAACATAAATCATAATATTAGATTCTCCATATGTTTTCCTATTTTATATTGTTCTTAACTTAAATGATTTATCTTATAGGTCTTCGACTGAGTGTAATCATATGTATATATCGGCTTAATTACATCTCAATAATTATGACTATTGAAGCTTTGATTAAAATAGAAATGAAAACTTACCTGTCTTCATAAATTGGTTAATTCAATTAAATATCTGTTAATGCAGGTTGAGTCTTGCACGTGTTTCGTAAAGCGGATGTGTGAGTAATGACTTTTACCTCAAGATAAAGATTTAACACTTCCTTATCCATAATACTCGGAAGTAGTCATACCTCAAGCGGGCCGAATATAGGTGAGACTAAACAAAAGCGTGTGAATGCTACGTGTTTGCGCTCATCGCACAATGCTGTTGCTAAATCACAGATAAGATAAATATCCATTCAAAACCCGACCCTAAACCAAAGTGAATATCGTTTTCTTAACATAGCTCCAAGGTACGAACATTTTTGTTGTATGAGCAATCCGTACAATACGTATATAATTTATATTAAATGTTTAATTAAAATAAACAAAACAAAGATAACATAATTCAGGTTTACACCTACAAACGACGGATCGTTTCTAATAACACTTGTATTTCGTCAAGCGGCTTAAAGGCAGCCAATGCAAACTGTACGAAGCAGTGTACGTGTGTCGCGTCGGCACCTCCAGTGTGCTTTAAAACAAACAATATTTTCGACAAAGGACCGGCGAGGTGTCAGCGGAGGCTAATGGAGTAGAGTGCTGAGCATATAACCTCGCTTTGTAGTGTTTTAAACTGTTTATTTAAGCATAAAACTCTTCACTTCTTACACACTTTGTACAGATGCCATCCATCTACACGGATTGACGAATGAATCTAAGCTTATGATACGAATCATATTTATGAATACCTAGTAATGGTCAACTCAATTAGTATTTAGTATGCTATATTTTAATATGTAGGTATATAATATATATGATTATAATTACATGCTCTTAAACATTATGTTGATTAGCTATACACATAAAATCGAACTAGTGAGTGGTGCACTTGTACACTATCGATTTAATTTATATTTAAGTTTCCAACTACAAAATGTGATCTTTAATTTCTGTTAGAATGTACAAGGTTTATTCGAATAAATAAAAATTATGTTCAATACAAACAAATATATCTATTGCAGCTTCTTTACCGCATAATTATTTAGATTATTTTTTTACTTTATTTTATTTACGTCATTTATGAATGACATAAATACATATACGGACATTACAAAACATTCATATCTGTATGGAATACGAAATATAAAGAAGTCAAACCTGTTCACTTCATACTTTGCCCTCTAATTGACAAATTGGAATCTCATTAATGTTAAAGCCGAGTTTCTAACTGGACGCCGCGCCGTGGATGTATAGTGTACGCGTCCAACCTTCCGATCGGCTGCCGATAAGTGCCGAAGACACCCGACGGCGCTCGGGCGGCAAGAGTAAAAAGTCGGCAGCATTCGAAGCGCGTGCCTCGATGTGTGTGGTCCACTATGGAGGTCCGCTTTGCCTTTTTGATATATTGAAATCTGATTTTCGCACTTTTTTACCGTCGAATTTCGTTCGAGTTTTAATTTAATGTGTCCCGATACGTTTATATAATGTTTTGTTTTGTTAATAAATACATTTCTTCAATTTGATTTAATTGAATTATTAAAAGACAAGAGGACATTTTTAAGAAGTAGTAAGGATAAGGTTCTTAGCAAAAAGGTACGCGTAAAATGAAAAGCACAATTTCAAAGAAATAAACAACGAATTAAGCTTATCCTATGAAAATACTTCACACTTTTGCACGGATGAAGGCCATAAATTGAAGATTTGAGTTGAAAGTCACATTTTTAAGGAAATTAAATATTTCAGGGTGTCCGTCAAGTAACAAAATTTTCGGGCTATTTTGGTATTAATAAAATTATCATCTCTTTTAATAACGAACTTCAAATAAAAATTAATTACACTACGTATTAAAAACATATAGATATATATTGTAATGTTATATTATTACACATAGGTATATATAGTATTCATTTACAACTAAAGCGTAAACTCTCAAACTACACGGATTGTTTCATTTCTGATCCAAACAAAGAAAACATATTTAAAAAATATATTAAAATTTATTTTCGTTCTAACATAGAAAAATACCTATAAAATTTTTAAGTCTTTATTTCAATATCATACATCTGTATCAAAAATTTAAAAAATGGCAGAATTATTAAATAGAATCGCGTACTTTATCGCTAGCATCTGTTGTAACGGCCATCTTATTTTCCTGTAGGTCTGAATTTGACAGAACATCGCTTCCCAAAGTCTCATTTAGTTCAGGATACCTTGGTATCAATTCATAGTTGTCCAAATCGTAAACGTCATCATTACCACTCTTCCATTTATCAGCAATCATTTGAAGCGGTTCTAGACATTGCAGACTCTGTTTTATTCGTAATATTTCAATATTACACTGATTTTCGACTTCCAAAAGTTTCAATTTATATGCCTTTGCTAACATTTGTTTCCTTATGGCATTTTTCTTTTCAATCTGTGCCATGTTAAGAGTGTTTTGATATCTCTGCAGTTGTTTTTCATATTCTATTAAAGATTCGTCGCAATTAAATTTGCTATCAACACAAACTGAAAACAAATTAGTAGCTAGTAAGTCGCTTTTATCAGATGTGTTACCGTCGCTGTATGTATACGAATGTGTCGCAGCGTCTGATATTTGACTCGATTTTGCAGCTTTTGCTTCTTTTTCTATTTTATTTTTTTCCTCGCTGAGCTCTAATTTAAGAGATGCTATTATGTTCTTGCACTGATTTATTCTATCTTTCAATTTGATATCGTTTTCTTCTATAACTCTTGAATCTTGTTTACATTGTTCTAATTTATTTATTTCCTCGTTAGTATTTGAACCATCCCCAATTTTTTTCTCTTGTAAATCCTTTTCATCATCAACACACGTATCTCTACATACATCCATACCCTAATTTTTATTAATAATATGTCTATTAAAGTTTTATTAATAATTTATTAAATATCATATAATAATAAATTGTAGATATACTTTTCGATATTGCCTAAACGTCAATTCAAATTTCAAATATTTCATAAAATTAACGTACAAAGCAACTTAACATCAGTTGCCAGTATTAAATAATAAATGTATATTCTTTTTGTATTCATCTTTTTTTGTCCATTATCCAAATTACTTACATTATATGATATTCTCTGATTCAACTTTTATACCCAAGCATTCTTATCTATAAAGATCATGTGTATGAATCCTTGTTACTAATTAGTTATGTAATTAAATTATTAAGAACATTTTTTCTGATCATAATTATAAAAATAATGTTACTCTCATCAAATAATGAATAATTGTACAACTTTTTTCTTTGTGTCAGAGTTAGCTACTCTTCCTCTATATAAATTTTAATGTATTCCGAGAATTAAATATAATTTTGTATAGTCGACCGTTTTGTTTCTTTAACAAACAGTTAAAATAAAGAAATTTTGGTCGCATAATACTGACGAATGACAAGTTAATATTATCAAACTCATAATAAGCTCATAAAAACAAAATAAGTATATCAAATAAAATAAAATTTATTATAAGATTATACAATTAAAATCCTTATATCAGGCTCATCATCAGGCTTGGAAAACCTACGACTGTTAGCTGACTATTGTATCTAATATTAAAAAGCAGATATAATATATACTCATTGATATTAGCAGTAAAATAGTGAAAAGAAGAGAAAAGAAATTCTTCTAAACGGAGAATAGTTTACCATCCTCCTCGATGTACAACAGCATAACATTTGGAGAAGCATCAGGAACATATGAAATCAATTTCACAATTATTAAATAGTTAGATAAGAGTTTACGTATCACACTCTTTTCAATATCTTTAGTAGATTTATTTAATATGGACACTAATCTATGACTTTCATAAAATACAGAGCAAATATATTTAATATATAAAACAAAAACGTTATTAATTTCTGGTAAAATGAATTTTCTAAAATAAAAAAAAACATTCTAGAAAAAAAAACATTCTCGAAGGGTAATTACTTTCAGCACTATTACTAATTGCTGATTTTTTTAAAACCATATTTTTGTTATTGCCTATAAAAAACATATATTCTGAAACTGTCAGTCTTCATGTAAGAATGGACAAAAAGAACAGACTACAATATATAGCAGAACCACATATCCTTAATAATTCCTTGTTCGCAATAACCCAAAATCAAGTTCAACCATTAAATGGTATCTGACAAAAAAAGACATTAATTAATTATTATTGATGAAACAGTCTATTGGGTATTTTCTCACATGGATAAACATGGTTTTAAACACTTAAATAGGCAGAATACAAGAAACGCACCTTACGGACATCTCTCGTCTACTATTGTTTTATAAATAGTAGAATATTCTTTAAAGCATAAAAAGTTAGCATTATAATATATTTATTATATAAAATAATGTGGTTTAAACAATTATAAAGGTAAACTAGCTAACAAGAAAATTAATTTATCAGGAGTGCAAAGCAAACTTGCTTTAAAAATCACGAACTCTTTGTATCCAATCAAATCGCAGGACTGTATGTCACTGTGACAGGTAAAAGTCAGCCTCTTAAGTCATACTGTGTTCGTTAATGTGAAGTTTGGCGCTCATTTTTGGCAGAATAATACATAGTTGATAGTTTTAACACATATAACATTAATCATGGGTCTTTTAGAATTGTGTGAGAAATATTTTGATACAAATAATCTGTATGAGGTTTTACAAATATCAGAAAAGTCTTCGGATAAAGAAGGTACGCTAAAAAACATATGAAATCATTTTAATTGCGGCTTAAACTTGACAATTTATCTAGCCCTTTCAATAGATAATAGATATTTACAAGTGGACTGTGACTACTACAATTTAGTTATTGAACAATAAAACTATATAGTTATGTATAATCAAATATACAATTTGTCGAATAGGACCAATATCGATTTTAATTTTATGTAAACGAAATCGTAAAAATCATGTTCTTAATTAGAATTTATTTTATTATTTATATATGTATCCATTATACTGTTACAGTTAAGAAAGCCTACCACAAACTATCACTTAAAGTTCATCCTGATCGAGTGAAAGACGAGGAAAAATTAGAAGCAACAGAAAAATTTAAAGTCCTTAGTAATGTTCATGCTATATTGAGTAATAAAGAAAAAAGAGATCTATATGATCAAACTAAAAGTGTTGATGAAGAAGATTATGATGATCTTAATGCTAAGGATTGGACTGTGTACTGGAGAAATATGTTCAAAAAGATTACTGAGGAAGATATTAAAGCTTATGAAAAAGAATACATAGGTAAATACTGTATAGTGAAAATGAAATTTGTCAGATGGTAGAGCCTAGCTGTAGTCATGTAACTACAGAAAAAAAAATTTATCCTGTACAGGGTTAAGAACTTTATTACATATTTAAATGCATTTTCAGGTTCAGAAGAGGAAAAGAAAGATTTAAAAACTGCATATTTAGCTGGGAAGGGTGATATGGATTATATTGTGGATCAAGTACAGTTCGCTCGTTCAGAACATGAACCTAGAATACGTGGCATTCTAATGGTTAGTTAACAGTAATTCTATTAAGTTATGAGACAAGACAAAACCTCTTAGCATCCAATGGATTCACTGTGGGTGCCGGGTCCATCATTGCAAGGAGAGGAGCTTCAACAGTGCCTGGGACTTGCAACCCAGGTGCAGGTTTAAGGGCCCCCTATCTTATATTAAACACTCACCTCCACTGTCCAAGCTCCTTTATCAACCTAACCAAATTTGAAAATATCCTACTAGGGCTGCTTTTGAAGTATGTTATGTATGTATGATACATAAAATTGTGTTATTTTTGTTTAGGAAATGATTGAACAAGGCGAGATTCCCTCTTACAAGATATTTACCCATGAACCGGCTAGAAAGAAGCAAAAACGTCACGCCAAAGAAAACCGGGAAGCTGAGGAAGCTGAAGAACTAAAAGAATCATTAGGATTAAATGCAGGTTTGGAATTTGGATTCTATCTGAAGTAAAATAAGTCATTAATTGTTTCATAATGCAATCATTAATTTATTAATTACATGAGCTGAATATAGGTAAGAGGTTCTAGAAAGGCAGTTGGTAATTGATATTTTTTAAGTCAACTTTTAATATTCATACATATACATTATACATATATTCATTGTAAGACAAGTGGATATTCCATAATTTCTAATTCATTGTTTAACTTTAATAATGTGTTGTATATAGTAAGTGGATGATGTCTCATAAAGTCCATCTAGAATGTGGTATAAGTCTAAATTAAATGTAAAACACCTCTCATCACAAATGGATATCTCAAGAAAATATTTTTTTATAAAATCAGTACATATATCTTATGATTAATTTATAACTTCTTTCAAATTAGGATGACTTGAAAAAGTGCTTTACCTCCATTTTAATACATTATTGTAGTAATGAAAATAAAACACAAAAATATCTTGTCTGTTTTAGCAAAGGAAATGTTAGTTATATGGAATTAAAACATATTTTTTACACTTAATGATTATGTCTTCTGCTTATTCCTAGATTTTTTTAATGCATTAATATTTCAAGTTTGAATTTTCGATTAAATAAGGTGATTGAGTTTTAAAACATACACTGTCATTGTCTTGGACTTGATGATGATGAAGTAAGGAAAATTAGCAGTGTAGTTAAATAATTTAAGACTTGAAAAACATCACATTACTTTGTGTTATGTTAAGAAAAATCCCTTAATAGTGCTTCTTTATACCAAATAAATAATTTTCGAAATATTATCTGTGCAATAGTACAGGAATCAAACTGAAAATGAAGTAAATGTGTTAAAAATAAACAGGCACTTCAATTATTTTATATAAATCGACTAATCATAACAGATATATCTTCACATTTAAAATCATTTCTTTAATTAACAATACACAGAAAAAGTTCCTGAAAGATAATATGACAAATATCAGATAATTATATACCCTATGCATGGAACCCATTCAGCTTTAATATAATTTAAAATTAATAATTTCAGGTGGTGACAGTTTAGAACTCATGATACAAAAAAGACAGAACGATAGAAAACAACAAATGGATTCATTGATAGACAACTTAGCCGCTAAATATGGCGGGAAATCGAAAGCAACGAAACGAAAAGCCGGCGGCAAATCTGAAGCAGGAGTTAAAAATAAAAGAAAGAAGTGATTCGTTTGTAATTTAAATGGTTATTTTATTGGAATTTAATACATTTTTAAATAGTTAAGCTATATATTTTATTCGCCATCCATGGCAACTTCCAAAGTAGTTTCAGAGTAGAACGGTCCAAGTTCAACATATTTTTGGAGCCGAATGATAATTGCTTTATCAAATGCTGTAGATGAAGCCAACCTCTTTATTATATCATATTTGGCTTCATTGCATTCCTTATTAAAATCTGTTGTGCGATCCAATAGATACTCAATAAAACCTGATAAATTAAATCACAATTATATTATAAATGCATTAAAACGTTGTCAAATAATGGTATGTCATAATATAATATGTGTATCATCCTTTTAATTTATGTAAATAATGTAAAATTATTGCCATAGACAGGTGGATAAACCCTTTGATATAATAAACATGAAGAGAAATTATTTGCAACAATTCCAGCTTTTAAATCCACTTATTTTTATTGAACGAATTCATTAAATTTTCCTAATTAACTTTTTCTTTCAATTCAAGAACGTAATCTTATTTAATCATGTTGAGTTATACTTGACAAACAATCGTGAAACTTTACTCATGACTACCTAAAGACATTCTAATCAAATTCTATGTCTAATATAATATAATAAAATAAATATACTTATGAATGCACAGCAATGCCCTTAGCAAAGTACACATTTGGCACACTTCATATAAGAATATCAGTTTTTTATTCATACTGGTATGACTGTACAGTTAGGAATAAGAAGCGATAAATTCTCAATGTGTTATGATACAAACTTATGTTAAGGATACAAATTAAAAGCTTTTAATAACTTATTTGGCTGTACCTGTACTAAACCAGTACTAATTAAATGAGACTTCTATCTATCAATTTTGCATTTCTAAGAGACATTGCACATATTCATTGCCATTTACTAATAAATAGCTGCATGTTGGTCTTATAAAGTAGTAAAAAAAATATTCACCTGCTACCCTTGATACCAATTCCTCACCCCACTGGTGTTGACAAGTGGCATCAAGTAAAATCAATCCAGCCAACTTTATATCAGGGAATGGATTCTTACAAATACCATATAACACTTCCATAGATGACGGCTGCTTACTCAAAATCCTAAACCATTCGCGCGTCATCAAGGTTATTCTCTGATCTACAGATTCAACTTTTGAGTTTGGATCTTTATCCACACTTATCAGATTACCCATACAACGCAGGGCGCGAATCCTTAATTCAGAAGGGCTATTTCTTATAATGGCACCCAATCTTTCAATATTCTGAGTATATTTGCTACCTGAAAATATATTACATATTACAATATAATTTGCTTAAATATAACACAAAACAGTTTTATTTAATGATAGTACCTAATGTAGCTAAACACATCTTCCCTTCAATTGTGGTTCCAATGAAGCCAAGTGTATCAATAGCAACAGGCAAAAGATTGGAATCGTCAGAATCCAAAGCTTCAAAGAGTGTTTCCAATAAGATTGGATATTTGCCAAAAATTTCTTTTGGATAATGGTAAGCAATGTAACCAAAAAATTTCATATAACCTGTAATAATTAAAATATATTTAGAATTCACCTTAAAGACTGAAAGGAAACTATATTAAACATTAAAATTGTATGTAATTATCAATGTATACTAAATTTTTAAATTTTACCTGGAGTTAAAAGTGATCCAAATGGATTGCTATGCAACTCTTTGACTTGATCAGCAATTTTTTGTAGCATCCCTTGTTTAACAAGATAGTTTATGCCATGAGGTTTTACTGCTAATTGTGACAAAAGTTCTAGAATATTCAGTTGATACAAGATATCGTCCGAGTTGAGCTCATTTACCATGAAATCTATATATCTTTCTTGAGCACACAGTTGGAATAAATCATATGACTTAGAGGATATGTTCATAACTACCTAATAAATTGAAAAATACATTTCAAATAGTGTGTCAATTAGGAAAGAAAATATATATGTTTATATTTGGAAATACTTACCTCATAAGCATTACATTTGGCACTATTGTTGCAATCCAGAGCGATTTTCATTTCCTCCAAAACTTTTGGATAAGCTTCCGTCGGCAAATTGCTGGTTATCAATACTGCTTTATTGGCTATGCCAATATCAACATCACAGATCATTTGAGCAACAGCCACAAACACATCTATGTATTGTGGCAATGGAAGTGCATTAACATTTGATGTTATAGCCTTATAGACCTGAAAATTAATAATGACATATGAAAAACATTAAATTAACTAATAATATTAGTTTGCTAAACAAAGTAGAAAAAAGCCATCTTGAAAACTCGATTAAAAACATTTATAACCAGATCATTAGAAATGTTCACATTTAAAGAGAATTATACTATAAAATAAGATTATGGTTTAAAAGCAATAACTCATTCAAGTGTAGAATATTAGAAGTCAGTTGAAAGCAATAAGAAAATAAATAAATGATTTATTTACACCTAGACAATTATAAAAAAATATTTTATTTTTTGAATACCCAGTAGACTAAGATTCTATCAAAAAATTAAACGTTTATTAAAACAAAAATACCTCATCCACCGCCAATCTTCGAACACAGTCTCTTTCATGGCGCAATAAATACATGAAGTGACTGATATAAGACCTAATAGCTTCACCAGGTTCAAATTTATCAAAACATATCTTTAAGACATCACAAGCAAGTTCAGCTTCACTTCTAAAATTGAAAGAATTGACGAATTCAACATTGATTTTGATATAAATAAGAATATAAATTATTTTCTTACTTGGTGGTTTTGTTGATGCAAAATAGGATTTTTGAAATCCCGACGTTCCTAATTGTTGGGGCAGCTTCGGCGGCTGGTTTGTAAGCTAAAATGCTTTTTATTTCATTCAGTGCCGTCGGAATATTTTCCTTTATTTTAAGTCTATCAAGGCAATTTCTTAACTGGTCTAGATCCCGATTCGACATTGTAGTTTTATAAATATGTTGTCTATTCCAAAATATTACCAGTGCCTAAATATACTCTAATTTCACGTCTAACTGAGTACGCCGTGTTAAATTATTCTTTTATTTAATATGGTATTTCATTTTATGACAAACTTATTATTATTGATGATTTCCTCAGACCCGGCTAGACTATTGATTACTATTTATTTTTGATTTTGACACTTATAACTACAAGAATTGCCATACAATTAAAGAATATTGAATTTTGTGAATATTTCAATGTGTTTTGTTACACTCTAAGACTTTGTATTAAAATAATTTTGCAATGCTGATTGAAGTTGAATTGTGGCAAAAATTTTGAAATAGCTAGTAAGCTTAATTTAGCGATTCTAAATTGATGAATTGACAAAACGGAAAAGAAAATCTACTGTTTGGAATGCCACTTAGACAAGTAAAAATTCTGACAAAACGGACTAAGTCTTGATGTTTTCGAAAGTTAAATTATAAGTGATATATTCTCCTGAACAATAAAATAATTAGTTTAAGTTAAATTTCAGATCCTACACAATAATCATTTTATTATAATGGCTTGTATAAAATGTTCAATACCCATGAGCGTACAGTAATTTTGAATGAATTTAATCACGAAAAACAAACAACTTGTTAGGTATTTACATATGTGTAATAGAAAACTATAAAAACATTAAACATATGATTTCTTCGCTCGCCAGTCCAAAAATTCATCTATATCAGTTTCATTATCAGAATCGTTTTCGCTATTATCGTCTAACATTTCAATATCTTGAATTTTCTTTTTCGTTTCTTCTTTTTTTAATTCGAGGTCCAACACCCTGCAGAGATAAAAGATCAAAAAATATATAACAAATAACAGTTTGCTAATTTTTCCATGAACATTTTTTTAATATTACAGATATATATTATGTATGACACTGATAAAAATATTACCTGGACCAATTACGAATTTGTTCATCTATTTCGTCTATCTGTCGCTCGGCAGTTGCTTCTTCTTGTTCACCAGCTATTATTTCCGCAGAGGTTGTAGTTTCTTCTTTAATTTCTTTCTGAAACTTCTCCCATTCTTCTTCTACTGGATCTTTATATTCAATTTTGCGGGCCTGTAGACGACCATATTAGAAAAAAGATTAACCACAGAGTATAGTTTGCATTCCTGTATTTGTGTAACACTACAAAATACAAATGTCAAAATACGTCAAAGTCTAATAATATAAATAAAGAACTAAAATATAGTCGAGTTAAGAATTACGCCGTACTAAACAGTCTGAAAACTAATATTTTAACATTTTTATTAAACCTTGGTTTGTTACTTAAAAGCTAGTTGACAGTAATAACTTTATCTTCTCTGAAAAGGGTCTAACAAAGACATTTATATGAACAGATCGGCTTGCTCAAGAACATATAACTAAATGTTAAATATGATGATCTTGGTTTTTCTTTAAAAAAATATTAATTTATAGTAATAAATTCCTGCCCTTACAAAAATATACAAATATTATTGCGAATAATTTCGGTGCCAAAAAATCGAGTCAAAAATATTATGTATGTATTTACGACAATATTTGTATCGATAATCATATGAATATGTATTGATTGAATAACTAACGTAAATGAGTGGCGTTACCGCGATAAAAGCGTAAATGTCAGTAATTGTGACACTAAGGGCACCTAATATAAGAAACTATTTTACATTTCGATCATATAGCACAATGGAATGGACTTTACCGAAGTTAGTAAAGAGAATTTTGCCGCCTTTAGATGGAACACTGCATAAAGGACAGGCTGGTAGAATTGGTATTGTAGGGGGATCATTGGAATATACAGGAGCCCCATATTTCGCTGGAATAAGTGCTTTAAAGGTGAGTCATATACCTGAATATTTCTAAGAGGAAAATAAGAGGTATAAGTGATATTAATTTATATATAGACATGTATTCACTTATTAAATAATAAATTCATAGGTTGGAGCCGACTTAGTACATATCTTTTGTTCAACGCCAGCAGCTTCTGTTATAAAATCATATAGCCCAGAGTTAATTGTTCATCCATTACTGGATCAACCAAATGCAATTGACAAGATTACACCATGGCTTGAAAGACTACATGTATTGGTTATTGGGCCAGGTTTGGGTCGGGAAATAGACACATTTACTGTAGTATCTCAACTCATAAAGTTAATTGGTGTTAAACAAATACCACTCATTATCGATGCAGATGGATTGTTTTTAATAACGGAAAAACCCGAGCTATTGGAGAACTTTTCTTCACCTGTGATATTGACACCAAATAAAATTGAATTTGAACGACTTTACAACAAATTGAGTACTTCGGCCGGTTTGGCTGAGTTGGGAAAAAATGTAACTATATTAAGGAAAGGTCAAACAGATGAGTTGCTTTGCTACCATTCTAATCTACAGTGGAAAATCAATACAGGTGGTTCAGGGAGACGATGTGGAGGCCAAGGGGACATTCTTTCGGGATCCATAGCAACATTTCTCCATTGGGCAATCAATTCATCAAATAAAATTGAGATTGGTGTCAATGTTGATAAAATGTTATTATTATCATCATTATCATGTTTCGCTGCTGCTAAACTTGTGAGATTGTGTAATGAGAAGGCATTTAAAGCTAAAGGAAGGAGTATGTTAGCTGTGGATATGATTGAATACATACATGAATCATTTCAGGAACTATATGAGAACTGACCCAAATAAATATTATTTAAGGTGCAATGTTAAAACATTTTATAACTAGTTACTAAGTATAGGGAATAAAGTATTTCATCTAATAAATGTGTCTAACACAAATGTGTTTCTTTCATTCATATACAAGTAAATAAATGTGAATTTTTTGTCTTATTATTATTCTTATTATTATTTGAATTTACAATTCAATCAAAAAAAAAATATTAACATAAATTTGTTTACAGTAAATCTGTTGTTTTTTTATTTATTTAAACATAAATATGTTTTGCATATTAAAAAAGTCTAGGTGATGCTAATAAGAATCAGAATTTTAATTTTAACACAGAGGTTCCAGTCTTACTTATATTTTATTTTTAAGGTTCAAATTTATAGTAGTTACAATATTGAGTTGCTATTTTCAATACATAATTTTTTTATTTCTCCGATAGGTTGTCATCCAAAATATAAAATTTAAGTCTCTTGTCTTAAGATTCAGACTAAGAAAAAAGAGTTTTTATTTTGCTGACCTATGTAAGATAAGGTTTGTAACATATGAAAAGAGGAACAGATAAAATAGTTCAAAAATTACACTTTTAAGAACAGAAACTCAAATAATTGCATTATATTGGTTATTAAACTGTCACAAATATTTCATAGACACTAAAAATAAAAACTTACTAATATTTATTAGAGATTCGATTATAATAAAATTGAATATATTCACCTTTGCATCTAATATTGGGTCATCAAAGAAACCTTCAGGTATTGGCATAGCAGCTGTTAATTCAGGTTTCCCTTGCTCTTCACTTTTTTCTCCTGGCTGTGCTTCTAATAATAAAAATTACATGTAATATTTTTAAAGTATAAATAAAATATCATATCGTCGGGGACAATGCAAATCCATGTAACTATTATTGGATAATTCCGCATATCTACATTGGAAGGAAATTATCAGTAGAAAGTTTTAGCTGAAATATTTTCTATATTAATAACTATTAAGTTAATTTTTCAATGATTAGTGTTTAATTTATTTTTACATTTAAAACAAGAAAATATAGTAAATATCCAGGATTTTATAAAATGTATTGCAAAGTACAATCCACTTATAAGAGTAAGTAACAATATTACAAGTATTCTAAAACTAATTTAACCTCTCAGAGTTTAATTTGTGTTTTAAAAATTAATAATAAAAGGGACTTACCATCAACTGCCATTGGATTGATTACTTTTCTCTTAATTTCTTCATCATGGTGGGAAAATATAATTGGTGCATCATTATTGGGTGTCTGACTAAAAGTGTTAATTTTTTCAGGGGCATTTTTAAGAATACCCTTTATTTTCTTCTCAGGTGGTTGGTCTATTGCACAAGAACTTTGTCTTTTTTTAATTTTATCATCGGTAAAGTTATTAGTTAGCTGTTTCAATTTCTTAGCCTTTTCAATATTTTCTCTGTGTTGTTTACTATTTAAATGCACCTGCCAAACATTTTCTGAACGTACTATCGAACTACATAAAACGCACATAAGTTGCCCGGCATTATTGTACTTTGCAAGGGGATTATTTATTTGGGTTGGTTTTTTGCTTTTATTTTTCCTTTCAGCCATCAAACGTCGCATTTCTTCTTGAGCTTTTTTCTTTTCAATTTGCAATCGAAGAGCCATCGTAGCTACTATGTATTTTTTTCTAATTATAAAGGTATTTACTATAACTATAAGTTATGTTAAAATCTGGACAATATTAAAGTAACAACGATAATAAGCAAATCTTATTTTCATTTCTTGAAATTGACACTGACATATTTTGTCTCCGTATATAAGGCATTTTTGACAATTGACACTACAGTTTACACTAGTATTAATGAAATTAGGCCCTGATTTCTTGTATTTTGGCAGGTTTAAATAATTACTCAATATTTTTTCCGTTATATTTCATTTGATCAAGCTACTACATATTTTTATTTGAAACATGTTATAAATTTTAAATATAAATAGAGTTATTAAAGTTTTATATGTACGATGAAACTTTTGGTTTAAGTGTAACTTCTTTACAATTTCTTTTGCAAAATAAAAAAAAATGCTAATTGACTGCATATTTCCTACACGTTATTGATGAAAAAAAAATAGTTTCTTAAAATTTACGAATAACTTTATATTAATTGAAAATATTATTAAATAACTATTTAGTACAATTAAGTATTTTATCTTCTTAAGTAAAGAACAATTAGTACGAAAGTTATTATTATTAATGTTTTTTACGATGAAGGCGATGATATACTTCCCTAAATACGATACATAACGGCCATGTCCATTATAAATTTGAATTGAACCATAGACATCATTCGTCTACATAATTTTGTCATTTTGATGGTGAGTGAATTCAGGATTTGTGCTTCAGTTGTAACAGACATGAATTTTATAGCTATATAATCGGTGAATCTTAAACTTATAATGTATTCTAGAATAACCCGATTGTGAAATGTTTTGAAAAATTAATTTAATGTATAGTTTTAGTGTCTAAGTTTTTTCTTAATAAAATATCGTTCAAGTAAATCTAGGTCTTGAAATCACCTAGTTCGTGTAAAATATTTTGTGTTTAACATTAATGTTCTGATATTTAGGTTTAATTGTAGTGCTAAAATGGATATAGATGTTAGTAAGGAAAATATCCAACCTCTAAGAGGTGGCAGAAACCTTATGCAGCTAGGCACTGCTTTGCAAGCTCAGTCAGACAGTGATGTTCAAAGACAACTACTATTGCAAAAAGAGTAAGTATTCTGCAGCTATCATTGCATTAATATGAGAAGGGCTATTTAATTTGTTGATTTATTGCTTAAAATCATTGTTTGTTTGTTTCTGAACAAAGTGTAAACCCAAATGATCTCTCATTGCTCTAGTCTACTTAATTATAAAAATTAACAATATTATTCATATGTTTGGCAATTTTTCTTATATCTAAGAGAATAGAGAATCAATTTATGTATTGTCATGTCAATCTAACTCAATCTATTAGACATTATAGTAGTTTTCAGTGACACAAGTAATATTCTGATTATTTCAGCGAGCATGAAGAAGCTATAAGACAGTACCAAGGCTCTGATCCTTTGGAGCCATGGTTTAATTATATTCAATGGGTGGAACAATCCTTTCCTAAGCATGGTCACGAAGGTAATATTGATAAGCTTATCAAAGACTGCCTACAGCTGTTTGAGAAAGACGAGAGGTACTTCCAAGATAGGAGGCTTGTTAAATTATGGATCAAATATGTAAGTTGACTTTAATTTAGTTAATATTTACTTGCTTGTTTTACAATTTTAAATATTAGTATTCTATGTGTTACATTCATTAATTAGTCTATTAATATTGCCCATATGAATATACTATAGTGTTTATTTGGTGTCTTTTTATAATGAATTATTAATTTTTAAGGTGGACTGTCTTTCCAATCCTCTTGAGATATATCAAAGGTTATATAATACTGGCATAGGTGTTGAGTGTTCAGAATTTTATCGAGCTTGGGCCTGCTATTGCGAGGAGTCTGGAGATTATAAGAAAGCAAACCAAGTTTACATGTTAGGTCTGCAAGCTAAGGCTCAGCCGTTGGATGAATTGGAACAGGCTCATATGTGAGTTAAGAAATATATGATTATTTAATTTAATACTTATAATAATATGTTGACTGATTGTGTGTTCAATTTGTGCTTGACAATGATCAATTGAAACAGTTTGAGCTGTACTTGGAAATTTTTGACTATATATGTATATATATAGCCTTATAATTGTGTCCAATACTTAACAAAATGTTTATACAGCACATACATTTTCATAAAGAATGTTTATGAAAATGTATGTGCTGTATGCTGTGTGCTGAAGGAATGCTTCATAAACTTGATAATACAGATTTTTATCCCAAAAATATTGTCATGTCATGTCATCAGCCTATCAGAATCCCACTGCTGAGCGAGGCCTCTTTCTCACATGGAGAAGGTTTAAAAATATTAATTTAATTTTATTCAATATAAACACAATTCACAGGAACTTCCAGTTGTTTTTCGCTCAGCGTATGTTACATGATGATTCGCCGACGAAACGTAAAGCAGCTTCAGCACTTGCCGAAACTAGAATGGCTTTAACATCACTCAAATCATTCAAGCGAAGAAACATTGCAAATGTCCCAGTACAAAGAGTGGGTGACAGTGTTAAGAGCACTCTACCAGGGGTTGTAAGACAACAACCCATTGATAACAGATTACCCAACTCTAATGTCATGGTTAATGTGTATGAGGTAAGAAAGAATTAATACTGTATAAAACAAATATTGGCCATATTAAACTGATTAATATAATTAATTAGGTGAAATATGTAGTCAATGAGATAATTTGATTAGTAATTGATTGAAAACTGTATTAACCTGTACATTTTAATCTGTTTTTTAGTTAAAAACCATTATTTAAGTATAGCAAAAGTATCAATGATTTAGTTATAAAATAGTTACTTCTACAGTATTGTATATAGGTAGTTAAAAGAATCAATGTTACAAAGAATACAAGAATAAAATGTAGTATATATTAAAAAACCTGTGAGGCACTTAATTAAGTAATCATAGGCCAAAACTGCCTTACTTTATTTCGGTAAACAGTGGATACTCTCACTATGGACCAATACTAAGCCAATATAGTAAAGAAATAATAAAGGGAACTATTTCAAATAAAATTATATCGCATCTTAATCGCTCGATCCGTTTAAGAGCTAGTAGTCAGTGGTGGTCTAGTGGTTAAAGGGCCCGCCTCTCGTTGCCGAGGGCGTGGGATCAAACCTTGGCAAGTACCAATGTGATTTTTCGGAGTCATAAGTACTTTCTGAGAGTATTTAGACATCACTGACATACGGTGAAGGAAAACATCGTGAGGAAATCTGAGTGAGGAAACCATTTTAATAGTCAGACAGACACACTCTTAACAGCACTATTAGCGCGTTGGCTGTTAAAATTGTCTATTATTCTATAAAATTAATATATAAAACAGGATGGTCCATCAACATCGAGAGGGGTCGTGACAGCTGAAGATCCCGGCCCAGCATCGCTGGTCCAGGCTTGCAATGTGGAGAATGAAAAGGAGGTTGGAATATGGACTAACCCTAAAACAAAGATGGTCCACACTAACGTCGTACCGCACCAACCTTTGCCTTTTACTCGTAAGTATTCTATTAAGGAAGACCTCGTTTTTATATAAAAAAAAACTTCTTATAAGTCACATAACTATAGTTGTTTGTTTAAATGTTTTTTACTTCCAATTTTTTTGCATAAGTATTGTCAGTAATTTTTTATTACCATACGTCATTTCCGACACAAAATTAGGTAATCCAATGTTTAAAGTAATGCTGAGATTGTCTTATTCAATAAAGTAAAAACCTATGTATATCAATATAAATTTCATTCCATGCCTCTATTTCAGCATATGAAGATATGGATGATGATTTAAAACTTTCTTCCAAGCATATGCCTTATTGCTTAGATGACTTAACATTTAATGTGCCACTATGTGTACCTGACCCAGCCGATCCAACGAAAATACCCTGTTATAATAAAGCCCAGGTAAGAATAATTAAAATATATACATTGTATATTTATCCGAAAGAAACAGAATTTTTAAAATATCTTTAATTAATCTTAAAACATGTATGTGATTTTAACTATAACAAAATTTGATTCTCAAAATAGTGTTAACGTGTCTTATTTTATATGTAGGTATATTTTAACGATAAAGAATACAGTTTAGAAGAAATAAGAGCTAGAAAATATAATGTACAAAAAGCCGTTAAAACAGAAAATGTGCAAGTACAAGAGACATATAAGAATATAAACGAAACTTTAGCACAGTGCAGTGCGTTAGAAACTTTAGCCAATTGTGCTTTGGACTCTGAACAAGATCATATGGGACAATTAATGCCATTAACAATGCCAACACTACAAAATGTCACCAAAGTAACAAATATGCATTCACCGGGAGAGCCGAAAGTATTGTGTAATTTAGACTCGAAAGAAGTTAGCGAGCTTGCCGCTAAGAAAAACGACGAAAACGATATCCCATCGAATTCATTAAGCGACAAGGAAAATCAAGTTGCTAATCACTTTAACAACGAAAACGCTGGTAATTTTGGTAAAAATAATTTAATGGAAGAATTCAATAGAAGCTTAATGGGGAACCTATTGGGCGATTCAGTGACTGTTAACACTAAAGAAGCTCGCTGGGAGTTACGTAACATATTTAATGACAATGGTAAACAGCAATTTATACATATTTTATTTAAAATACCACATATCAACGATTACTAAATAATTTTTAACTTTATAGCAGAGCCATCTATAGTTCAGCCTGTTATTCAACAATTTGACGTTCCAAAATTTGATATACACGAAGACAGATCTATGACTATGGCGATTAATTCGAAGAAAAATTTTGAAATTCAGGATGCAAGAAATATGCCAGAGGATAAAGAAAACGCTAACAAATTTAACGCTATTCAGCCAAATGTTACCTCGCAAGCACCAAACGTAAGGGTTTAAAATTTTAAGTGAACGAATAATTTAATTTACACTTATACAGGGTGACTGGTGAATTACTATCGATATTTGAGGACGTGATATTTGACGATCATATATGACGAAATAAAAATTAATATAACGTAAATATTAATAAACTTCAAAGTAAAGTTAACCAAAAGTTGTGTAATTAATTACGCATCGTGTGAACACTCTACAGATTAGGTATACACACACACTCACACACACGAGGCGGGGGCGTGGTTTTGTATCAGTACGCCGCCGCACGCGTCCACACTTGGAACACTTGGAACGTGTCAACACTTTATTTATTTATACGGAAATTTGGTCAAAAATTAAGTACCAATTTTTTTTACATAATTCGAATGAGAATCATGTACCGAGTATGCTCCTTAAATATTGATAGTAATTCACCAGTCACCCTGTATAAAGCATTTATTGGTAAATTTAAGTCGTTTTTAAATCATTGACGTTACTTAATTTCACAATGACATTTTATTTATATTTCTTACGGTTAAGAAACCTTAAATGATTTTATTTCACCTAATAGAGTTTTAGTACTTTGTTAAAGGAGAAAATATGAATTTTATAGTGAATTACATGAATGTCTTGAAAGTCAAATTGTTTGTACAAGAAAGATTTGAAAACATTAATCCATTCTTAATTTAACACCTTCAGAATATAATTATATTACAAATTAATTCATTTGTTTGACCAATTTCACTATTTCTTGTTTCCGTTACAGGTAAATAAGACTACGTTCTGTGAAGAACCATCTTGCACCCAGGTGTTTAATTTCAACATTAAAGTCGCTAGTACTCCAAACATGTCCCAATTTAAGAAACCATCAAATATTGATCAGTCCAGTAAATTCGCTGTACCGAAATTTAGCATTGACGAAAGTGTCATAGAACAACCTGATCAAATTAGCACTAAGAGAGACGATTGTTCTAGACAAACAAACGACCAGCACGCAACTGTTGACAATCAAGGTGGTGGATTATCTGTTATTATGGAAGCGACAAGGGAATACAATAGGTAGGTATTTATATACAAAGAAATATATTTATACTTCTGTTCGGTCAAATTCAGGAAGTATTTTTTCATATTTCAGCAAATCTGGTTCTAGTTCATCGGGACAGTCAACAAGGACCAATTTTACTGGTTACACTACCAACTTTGATTCAGTTTACAATAACCATAATGATCCCAATCATCAGGGTACAACATCAAAAAGGAATTCACTATCAGCTCAAGCTAGATTGCCGAATGGTCAATTCGCTCGAGCATATCCACAAAAAAGAGAAGCGGAAAATAAAATGGCGGTGACACCGTCCACCTCAGTGCCTTATCATTCTCACGATCACCAATATCAAAAGCCTATGCCGCCAAACTTCAGTGGTTATTCGCCACAACGCTCGATACATTATCAGCAGAACTATAACTATCAGCAAAACTTTCCAAACAATCATATGATGAATCAACAGCAACAAGGTTACGGAAGCCCTAACCCGAGTTCCTATCAAAGTCCTCAGCATCCGAGCATGCAAAATTCCCACGAAATGAATCAAGTACCAACTGGATTCCAAAGTCCAACTTATTCCAATCAAATGGCGTACCACCAGTCGCCGGTGAATAATCCTGGGAATGTAATGATGAGTCCCCAACAAGGTTTCACAGGTCGACAGGAGTTCCACTACAGTAATCAAACAGACCGTCATGTTTACGTAAACCAACAACACCAAGTCTTCCAAAGTCCCCCACATCAGACCCAGTTTCAAAACTCTGTTTATTACCAAAGATCAAGTCAGCAACAGACACAGAGTTCGTACAGTCAACAAAACTATCACCATATCCAAAGTCAATATAATAATCCAAACATGTATTCTAGTAGTGGTCAAAATTCTAATAATCCGAATTTCAATACAGTACAAAGTCCATACAGGCAAGTGGCGAAACAAATTGAGAACCAGGCTTCTTATGGAATGTCAAACAATCAACAATTCCAAATATATCAAAGCCCTCAAGCTTCTCAGAACAGTAATATACGAAATACATCAATGCATGACGCAAATATGGCTCAAGGAGCTTATACAGAAACACAGGGACGACAAGAAATGGTCGATTCGTCGGGGAAACACGAACGAGATGTTGAAAACTCAACTCTAACTAATAACCCGCAGTCCAAAAATTCATCTTCACATAAAAGTCCAAACAATTCAGTATTAAGAAACGTAAGATACGATCAGCCTAACGTTAAAATCGGTCAGAAATCACCAGAGGTAGGATTTTCTAATCAATTCTTGAACTTCATATCTAATAGAAACGAACCCAAGGACAATGCAAATACACCGAAATTCACTAATAGCCCTAGTATATCTCAGAAAATGCATAAAAACTTATACGTGTCGAGTCCAGAACAGGCTCAAATTCCTCCTTCATCAGGGCTTTCGGACACTGACAGCAAAGATGGTATGACTGCCCAAACAGCTACACCGATTCAATCCGCCAAAATTCTTACTATCGATAAACAAAAGGACATTTCAAAGAGGCAGTTAGATTTCGAGCATAGAGAGAGAGTTGAGATTCAATCGGAAGACAGCAGGGACTCGGTCAGTAAGGACAGTAGAATCTCTTCAGTGTATTCACGACAATCCGATTTCCAATCAGACGGCTACGGTATGGATATTGACAGTGAAAATTCTATGGAATGTGGTGCCTTCAAATCATCGCATTCGATCTCCATGATTGAAACCAGTGATATTCCACGACCCGCTGATATAGACTTCCCGAAAGTCATCGATCCATTCAACAAGAAGATGTTAACATCGTTATTAGAATATGTTAAATTCCCCAACAAGACGCACGCCGAGGGTTACAACGAGGTCAGATCTATACCTAAATTGCAAACAGCAACGGTCGTATCCGTCGGCAATAATAAATACTCCATAGAAAAACAACTGGGCAAAGGAAACTATGGGGCTGTGTTCCTGTGTCTAGATTACCACAGCAATAAGTCGGTTGCTGTTAAATATCAGAAACCAAGTCGTCCATGGGAATTCTACATTTGTCAGGAAATAAAGGCTAGGATAAAAGATCCCTTTATGGTAAATAATATTATAACTATTATTTAAAGCTTTCTTAAATGCCATATATCATTCCTTTATGTTTCTATGTTCACAGCTACCTGGTTACATGGAAATATCAACAGCATTCCTCGGTGAAAACGCCAGTTTGTTCGTATCTGAATACTCACGTTATGGGTCATTGTTAGATGTAGCCAACAAAGTTAGGATTGCTACATCAAAGTGCATCAATGAACTCATAGTTATTTTGTTAACATCAGAAATGCTGTCTATAGTACATTATCTACATAAGGCGCAGATAATTCACGCCGATATTAAACCTGACAACTTCTTATTAATGAAGATGTAAGTATTATATGATATAGTGCTATAGCATATACCTGTGCTTAAATTGTTTTATATACTATCATAGTTTCAAACTTGGTATACTATTGAAATAGTTATAAAAATTTTAAGTATCACATTGTAGTTATATCTTTTTTCAATAAAGGTTCTATTAAGTAATAAACATTACTAACTTTAGTATGTATGTAATATATTCAATAGCTTTGAATTGATGTGTGCTTAACTTCTGACATGAATTACTTTCTTTAATGTAGGTTTTAATATTCATGGAACCTAATTATATATAATTAATGATATTTATTTCAGTCCAACTCAAGAATGGAGGACTCCTTCCTTACAATTGATTGATTTAGGATGTGCTATAGATATGTCACTGTTCCCCGAAGGAACTACATTCAGAGAAGTGAGTAACATTCTGTTTAAAATTGTATAACGCTTTATATCATACTTTGTTACAAATTCAAATTATACAGGGTGACTGGTGAATTACTATCGATACTTGAGGACGTGATATTTGACGATCATATATGACAAAATAAAAATTAATATAACATAAATATTAATAAACTTCTAAGTAAAGTTAACCAAAAGTTATGTAATTAATTACGCATCGTGTGAACACCCTACAGATTAGGTATACACACGCACACACACTCGCGCGGCGGCGTGGTGTTGTATCAGCACGCCGCCGCACGCGTCCACACTTGGAACACTTGGAATGTGTCCACACTTTATTTATTTATACGGAAATTTGGTCAAAAATTAAGTACCTATTTTTTTACATAATTCAAATGAGAATCATGTACGGAGTATTCTCCTTAAATATTGATAGTAATTCACCAGTCACCCTGTATATATTAGGAATGAGAAAATACAATTTAATTACATATGTTTTGAATCTTTATTTATATTTAGTTTGCATTTGAAGTATGAATTATTGAATGTAACAAATTTCTAATATGATTTCAGTTAATTGCTACCGAAGGATTTACTTGCACTGAAATGAGGGAAGGGAAGCCCTGGACCTATCAGACTGATTTGTATTGTCTCGCTGGCACCATACACGTTATTTTGATGGGTAGCTACATGAAAGTAGCTAATCGATTAGGACAATGGAATATAGATAAGAAATTGCCAAGGTATGGTATAAATGTATAAAGAATATTGTCAATACTCTTTTCATTTCATTACTAGCTTTTCGCCCGCAGCTTCGCCCGCATGGAGTCCGGTTATATCGCGTTTGCAAGAAAACCTTTCAAAAGTCTGAGATAAAAACTAAATCCTATGTTCTTTCTCAAGGTCTACTCTATCTCTGTACCAAATTTCATTAAAATCAGTTCAGTGGTTTAGGCGTGAAAGCGTAACAGACAGACAGATAGAGTTACGTTTGCATTTATAATATTAGTAGGGATAATGACTCTGTGATTTTATATAATAAATTTGTTTTTCTCTCCAGGTATATGAAGAATAGCCTTTGGGATAAAATATTTACGACTCTATTGAATGTGCCTGATTGTAACAATATACCGGACCTTATGGAACTGAAGAATGATGTTGACAATGTACTAAATCAAATTGACTGTCTGAGTTCACAGCTCCGTAACTTTGCTAATGTGCTTAAATCTAGGTAAACTCGATACACTTATATTTATTGCATTTAGATGTTATTGTGACTGTAAAAAAAACATGTTTGTATTAATAATAATTATATTTAAGTTGGATGAATTTGAGTAGTCATTTATCAGGTTGAAACATTTCGAAAATAAAAAAAAAACTTTAAATATCAGATTCTACATTTAAGGTTATCTTGTTGAGTTTGATTAAAAATGTGATATGTAATTTAGCTTTTTGTTAGTAAATATGAAACTTGGCTTAGAATATCTTGTTAGCTCTTAATGTTGAAACTTCACTTAGGTTTCATTTATTTTTGTACAACATATAAAACTTGCACTACATATTTTTTTTTGTTCAACTGTATTAAAAATAAATAATAACCTGGTTATATGAATATTTTATTTCTAATCCTAAGGTTATTGAAATAGAAACTTTGGTATTAGTATTGGTATGACAATAAATACATGGTGTCTTTTATAAAAAAAAAACTAGGGATATTTAATCTTGTAAATAAAAAAAAAACATTATAGCAAATATTTTATTAATAAAATTAAACATTAAGATTTCTCTAATCTTAGTTTCTTCCTTTCCTGGTATTCCTGTACATTGTCAAATTTTCTTTTAAATAAAACTTTGATTGCATCCGGATCATATTTTTCAGGTTTACAATCTTGTTCTTTAAATACTTGAATATCCCTTGCAAATTCAATTGTTATATTCTCATTCTTATTCATGGTATGGTACTCCTTAATTTTAAAATCTGTATTGTCATATACATATAAGGATAAGTTGCTAACTTTAATAGCAAAAGGAAATTGTTCGACGGGCAGTTCTGATATTAAAATGTGGCTGAATTTGTCATTTTGTGATTGTAATCTGTATATCATAATTTTCATATATGTATGTACTGCTATTGCTAATATGCTGGAATTCTCATCATATTTAGATATTGAATAATGTACTATGGGTAATGAAGAAACTTCTATTCCATCTTCATCCATAGTTTTACAGAATTTTTCTTGTAAATCTGTATTTTTTAAGTCATTACTGGTATCAATAGTGTGCATTAAGATACCATTTACATAATTCCAAATCTTCACAGTTCCATCTCCAGAACTACTTGTTAAATATTCTGTTTTATGTGGCAAGAGTTCTATATGATTAACAAATTCCTTGTGACCCAAGCAATATGTTTGTATATTATATGTATTCGGATAGCAAGACACTTTAATCTTTTCATCTCTGTCACATGAAATCAGATATTTTGCGTCATCGGTTTGTAAGACATTAAGAAGAAGACTTAAATGTCCCAGGATTTTAATGCCATTGTTCCCAAGTGGTATATCATATGATAAAACATCACCAGTCTTATCAGCTACGAATATTTGTGTATTGCTTATATTAAATCTTATCTTACTAGCTCTTCGTGGTAGTGTAATGTTTAAAATTTGTTGCATATGTTGCAGCTCGTAAATAATTAACCTCTTAGAAAGAGACAAGAGTACGGCTAAATACTTACTATCGTGTGATATTATAAGGTCCGTTACCGTTTCATCCTCCGAAGGTGAAGGATCGATAGTTAATTTATTAATAACATTATCAGATTTATTAAAAAAGTCTAAATAGAATGCATTTGAAACTGCGACAAGATCGTCATTCACAGCTAAACAACACATTATTCATGACACTTATGATGAATGTACTAAGTTTTTTGGAAATATTGTGTAATTATAGCAATTGTGTAAGTATAACCGTAAAAGTTAATACAATATTATGGAATAAATATAATTATAACCTTACATTAACTGCGTGATTGTGACAGATGTCAATAGAGGGAAGTGAGTACTGACTACTGTCACTTACAATTTCTTATACATTTATGAGCACTTAAATTTTTGATTAAATTAAAAAGTAACTCATTTCTGTGTTACAATTATCGAATGCAATAAAAATGTGTTTATTAGAAAGTATTGGGACGGCTCTTAAGTTTATTTATTTATTTACGCTTTATTGCACACCAGTATAGACAGAAATAATAAGAGAAAAACAAAGAAAGGAAAATGTACAAATAGGCGGCCTTATCGCTAAAACAGCGATCTCTTCCAGGCAACCTTTGGTAGAGGAGAGAGATAGAATGGTAGGGGTGTACAAATTACTGAATACATAAAAAATAGATACAATATATAGGTATATGAACGATACATAAATAAATACTCCATAAATATATACTTATATAATAATATAATATACATACACATTATAGATATATACATTTACATACTATAGATACTTACATAATAAATAAAATAATTAATTACAGTATTGAAGCAAGATAGTGCTCTTTTATCATTTTTTTAAAAGAAGTCATATTTGGTGCACGTCTTGCTTCAAGTGGAAGAGAGTTCCAAAGACGAATTGATTGGACAGTAAAGGAGTGAGAGTAAAAAGATGTTGTATGGGGTGGTATTTTTAAGACCAAATTCTCTTCAGAACGAAGATTATGGCTATGTGAAGAACTAAGAAATTGAAAACGTGCTTTTAGATATGAAGGAGAAGACGGATTGAACAGAATACAGTACAGAAGTTGAAGGATGTGAGTATTCCTGCGAAGCCGGATTGGGAGCCACTTGAGCTTTTTACGAAATTCAGAAACGTGATCATATTTACGAAGACCAAATATGAATCGGATGCAAAGATTTTGGAGACGCTCAAGTTTATTAAGTTGCTCCTCTTTTAGATCAAGATAACATGCGTCAGCATAATCGAGAATTGGTAGTAGGAGTGACTGTGCTAACATAATTTTGGTAGGGATGGGTAGAAAGTTGCGTAATCTTCGAAGGGAGCCGAAGGCAGCAAAAATTTTTTTACTTACCTCACTTACCTGTGGTTCCCAAGACAGGTGCTGGTCAAAGGTAATTCCCAAATTCCTAGCTGTAGCACTGAACGGTATGTTAACACCGCTAAAGTGTACAACCGGGAGATCCGAAAAAGATATACGAGAAATTAATTTTGAACTACCAATAATCAGCACCCGTGTCTTATTTGGGTTTACTCGTAATCCAAATGCAGCAGACCACTTAGAAATATTTAATAAATCGTTATTAACCAAATGTATAGTTTCAGGAAGGTTCGCAATTTTACTTTGTGAATAGATCTGAAGATCATCTGCATACAGGTGATAGAGAGAAGATATATGGGAAGTGATGGTACTTATAAAGACCGAAAATGATGGTACTTATAAGTTATTCATCACATAGTTATGAGCGGATTTAAAAATCATTTATAGAGAAGATAATTTAATATTAATTCACTGAGTGTGTGTGAATGGTCTACAAAATTGAATGCAGGAAAATAAAAATCTTCGTTAACATGGTATTAGGACCTCAATACTTTTCTATCATAATATTTCTTCGTCTATACACATCCGTTTATTTTTACACAAATCAAGAATACTACACGATACACACTTCAAAATATGTTAGCATTTTTGGAGATTTGTGTTTTCACTTTGTATTTTTAATTTCTTAATCATTTCCTTCTTAAATCATTAGAAAAAAAATCTAATATTGCTAGAAACATAAAAAAGACTTTGTATTCTGTGATTATTTTCATTCTATGTCTTTACTTTTTATACGTCATCTAAAATACGGCCCATTCACTGAGTTGACACATTTAGTTTTTAAAGTTAAGTTGTCAAATTAAACATTCCGAAGAAATATTTTCAGAATTTTTTCATATTTAATTTCAACTATTTCAAAATTAAGCCATGGCAGCTGTAGTAACGTCATGGACACCAGATAAAAAGCACACTGATCTTCAAAGGTATGTATTTATTCATTTACAACACAACGCTTTTCAATACTTTGGGTCGAACTTTAATATATTATCATAATATAAAAGACAATTTTAGGCCCTTCTTTGATAACATTCTTATTTTGTATTTTAATTTTACTCTTATGTTTCTTTATGAGATTATAATATGAAATTTGTAGTTAAAGCAAACAAATACTAATTTTCTCTTATTTAATTCTATTGTTTTTAGGAAATCTGTTTGTATAATTTATTTTTTGTCTCTAGTATAGGGAATTGTAAACTATTTGTTAAATGTTTATTGTTATAGTACATTAATATTGCAGATGGATTTGTATTTATCCAGCCTACTTGAACAGTAAAAAAACCCTTGCTGAAGGGCGTAAGTTGCCCAGAGATATATGTGTGGAAAATCCTACACATCAAGAAATAAGGGATGTACTTTTCACAACTGGACTTCGTATTGGTGTTGAAAATAAATTATACCCTCGTGAACGTAGCAAGGTAAATTTTAAAATTACAATTGAACTAAAACCGTTGCTATTATTATTTGTGACATAAAATTTTACCTAGCTGTATGGTGACTAATTTTTTTAGTATATGTAGATATTAATATATAGATTTTTCTTTGATTATAATAATGAAATGTTTCAGGAAATGCTGTATAGAGGAAGAATTCGTGTTGAATTAAAAAATGATGATGGTACACCAATAAAAGAAGAGTATCCCACAAGAGAGGCGGTTATGAGACACATTGTTGAATCAATTCCAAAATTGAAGACTCGTCAAAACAGGTATATGAGATGTATATTGGTATTCTGTTATACTAATATTTATTATAAGATCATGTTTATTTTACAATTATACCTTATCTTTATTATTATATATAATTCTTCTGTGAGTGTGTATGTCACTGAACTTCTCTCAAACGACTGGGCAAATTGTGATGAAATTTTTTGTGTGTGTTCAAGGGGATCTGGGAATGGTTTAGTTTCACAATTTTGTCCGCTGGACAATGTTTTTTTAATTAATTTTTAAATTATTAGTAGTTGTTGATACAAACTTTTTTTTTGACATTAGATTTGACAACTAACTACTATGTCAATCATTCTGTCGCACTTCAAAACACGGAGATTTATGGCTTTAATAGGTAAACTCTAAAAATATAAATAAAAAAACGTAACAGATATTTCTTGATTATAGGGCGATACGAAGTTCGCCGGGTCTTCTAGAGTATGTATATAAAAATGAATCCCTTTTTCCCTTAATCACGGCATCACGCGTGAATAGCTGGACCGATTTCACTAATTCTTTTTTGTTGTATTTGTTATTATTAGGTCAAGGTTGTTAGGTAAAAAAAAATTGCATAAATTTCTCCAAAAAAAAAAACTACAAGGGGTATTACACTTTTTTATTAAAATAATGTGTAACTGGCAGTAATATTCACGAAGTATGAATAAAGCATTGGAATAATTAATCACTTGGTTTTTGGAATCACTTTGATTTTTTAATATACTAATTAGAATTCAATAATCATAGTTAAGAAGACAGAACATTGTCTGTCAGGTCAGCTATACTTTAAGAAATTAACTTCATTCAGATAAAAAGGTAACAAATATTTCTTGATTATAGGATGGTACGAAGTTCGCCGGGTCAGCTAATACTCAATATTTTTATGCTTATATTTTAATGTGTAATATATATTTCAGGCCCGCAGAACAGCAACCTCAGGCTGTTCAACAAAGTAGCAATAAGAGCAAGGGAAAGAAAGGAAGACGATAATGTTTTATGTGCAATTTTATTATACAACTAAATAAACATAATTTCTATATGGTGGTTTTACTTTTTGATAAATTATGTCTAAGAGTGAATATGTATAGCTCTTTCTGTCATTTTGTTTTTACCGTTCACATCCCTTGCTACGCTGTAGCCATCGAAGATCATAACAACCTTTGGTCCTACTGTTTCATTTGCTCTACGAATTTTTTTATTTTCTGTGGTAATTTGGCCATTTCCGTAAGAGATTCGTTTATCACTGGAGATATTGTTTGGGATGCTTTTTTCATAGTCTTCGGTATTTCGTTTTGGTATATTTTCCTCTTGGGTGTTATTTCCTCGTAGTCCTGAAGTAAGTTCTGATAAAAAGACTGGGCTTTCTGTTTCGTCTTTTCGAACTTGTAATTTAACTTGTCTTTCGTGTTCTGATATTTCTCCTGTAACATTTTCAGGGGTTCCATGGGTCGGGAGTATGAATGAGTAATTTTTGTTGGCTCCTCCACTAGTCTCTGTAGATTGGGTATTAATTCTGATTCTTCGTTCTCCTCTTGCGGATCCAAGGCTACTTGCATCGTTTCGTGAATAACCGTAGGTATTTTCTTCATAATCTTCTGAAAAGGGTGCATAGTCTCCGTCTCGGGTACCGCATTCATTATTTCCATTATCCCTGGAGATATGTCCTTTATTGCATCTGTTATATGCGGAGCCGCTTCCCTTACTGAGTTCAGAATTGTTTCTCCGAAGGCTAAAGGTATTTCTTGCAAGTAATATGGGTATGTTCTTATTCCGTCTGAAACGGCCGAAGTTATCATAGATAGTATTATCGGCTGACGGGGTGGCAGTAAGGGGCGTATTCTCGATCTCATTGGAAGGATCCGAGGAATACGTAACTGTCTCCTCTTGCGTATAAGATTCTTCGGTATTGTCTTTAGTAGCACAGGTGCAAATTTTATCTTTTTTATTGGAAAACGGATTTCTTTTATGTTTGCGTCGTCGAAATTCGTTGGTTTCGCTAGAGTCTGAACTGAGAATATTATCAAATAGCACCCCAATATTCCTAAGAAGGGGAATGTATTTTTGGTTAATTTTGACATGACTTCCTTGAGTATCACGTTTTGTTGTTAAATTTTTTCGTTTATAGATCGGTTTTTGCAGATATTTTAACTTTTTTGGTGTTAATGGCGATTTAATGCGGAAAGATTTCTTGAATTTTAGCGACGATGGCTTCTTGCCTTTATCAATGTCACCTAAAACAACTTATGGTATTAGTTTAGGTCTAAATTAACTTAACAAATAACTAATTAATAAATATTTTCCTTTCTTAAAAATGCCTAAAACATATGTTATTGTCTTTTTTACTAACATCCTACTGAAGAAATGAGGTACACTCATTTCTTCAGTAGGATGTTAGTAAAAAGTAGTTAAGCAATATTTTTAATTTTTTGTGTTTGTAGTAGTAAAGCTTTTTTTCCCAAATATAAAGCGCGATAACCTTTTCTTTCTCTTAAATATTCTGAAAGGTAGGTTTGCGATATAAATATTTATTACCTTTAGGAGGATTATTTATGTTAGTGAATTGTGGGATTTAGAAGAAAAACTAAAATACTGTTTTATGTGTGACTACACCTATTAATTTCTGATACTTACTTGATATTTTATGCCTTTGTATTTTTGTACGCGTAGGTAATTGCAACAAATCCAAGTCCTTAGTAGGTGAATATTCTGAAATAAAATAAATATAAAAATTTACCTTTAACATACTTATATTAAAGCAAACTAGGTTTAGGTAAAAGTATTTATATTTTATGTAGGATAGATAAGTTAAATTAATATTAGTTATATGATTTATAATCTTAGACTATGTAAAAAGTGATAAGAATATCTACCAAGTAGGTACGATTATTTATTTATTTTACATGAAATATTAATAATAGGAAAATAAACTAAAGTTGGTTGTTAACAAATGATACACTTTAGGAGTATGACGTAGCAGCAGTTAAAAATTAAGCAAGAAGCTTAAAAGTTAAAATCGTTTTCAAAGAACAAACCGGTTTGAAACCCTTATGATTATTTTTTTCTTCTGATTATTTTCATTACTCTTGTTTATTGTTTTTCATAATTGTAATATTCTATCTTGATTCTGCCGATTTAGAAACATAACGAAGTGTTTATTTATACCAAATACAAAACGTGTAAAGGTTTTTTAATTTTTTTATATCAAGATTTTTAAGTATGTAGTAAGTTACGGGCTAGTAGATTCATTCGAAAATGCATACGATTATAAATTTTCATGCATACCATGACGACGAACAATCAAGTAATCAAAAAATTACTAACTATGTAATATCAATGGATGCTGAATAGATAGCAGTACCGTCGGACGAATTATTATCTAAAGCAGATTTTGTAACACTTGAAGTTTAATTTCGGTATTGGAACAAATGCTATCGGATATTTTTTAAACTAAAACAATTTCAAGATACTTTTTGTAATTTGTAACTGAGACTTTATAATATAATAAGGAATATACGGTCCACTAAAACGCTTTAAGTCGAAATGAGAGAATAGATATTGGATGAAAAATGAAGATTATTGGTTGTCAGATTTGTAAGAAAATAATGGTTTATGCTAAAGAATGATTGAAAACGACTTAAATACCTTATCGCTGTAATGGGAAAAAAATAATTTTGATGACAATTGATTCCAGATGCTTATCCCATTTAATTGATCGTTTGTGAAGCTTGTTATAAGGTATAATAAATTTATATGTAAAATATCATTTACCGGGTCATAAATATTACGTGGATTGGTCTCAATTAAATAAATACTTCATGAAAAACGTCTTTATTTGATTTGACTCCATGCATTACACTTGACTGTATTGCTATTTGGACAAAGGAATAATAATAAAAAAATAATTACCTGAGTGTATGATTGATGGGTGTGATGATTCTTTTTCAGCAGCAATGAGGTCGTTCAATGATACTGACTTTGCTTCTAAACCTAAAAAAATAAATAGAAATTTAACCTACTTTTAGATGCTATAGAAATTACAAATTGAAAATAACTTTGTTTTATATAAATTCGTAACGAAATGGAACACTAAAATATAAATGAAACGCTCACAATATAAAATTACACTCCAGCTAAAATAACGGAATAATATAGTTATTTCCATTTTCTATCATTTTAACAAGTGATTGATCACTTCAGGAAGTTATTTGCAAACTGAATAGCTTTGTTTTAGTTTCATTTCAACATGCATTTATTTGTAAATTAAATTAACAACACAGCGATTTTTAATCACGTACTCATTCGGTTATGACACTAGCGGCAGTTTCCTGTGCGATATTTTGGTTTTGTAATTATGTGTATTAATTTTAACTGTAACTACATAATTCTGTATAATTTATATTTCGAAACCGAAATTTGTATAAATACTTTAATTCATATTATATTAAATGTCATTAATGTATAATGTTCTTTTTATAAGGAACGGATTTACCTAATATAGCTCGGCTATACGCTATTATTTTTTGAACATTATATGTCTAAGGAGTGAATAAATCTTAAAGCAAATGTAATTTCATATACGCAAGTAATTTTAAATAACTATAAGTAAAATTTTAAGAACTTAAATACGCACTTAAATAGGTGAGAATACTAACATATACATACATATATCAAAATGAAATCTTAAATAACATAAACTATAAACTATATTTTAAAAGTAGAATGTTTTTTTAATTGTACCTACTATTTACATCAGAAAACATTTAGCAAACCACAAATAATTTATATTAAATACCTACTGTGGAAATAAACAAACCTTGAAATTGTTATTTTCATCGGTTTTGTCGAGTTTGCGGAAGATTTTAATTAATTCGTTGACAGAAATGTATACAAGACAAAATTTCGCAAGCTACATAAACAACATCTTGTTTAACTTCGATGTTACAGTATCGACTTAATACAATGCGTACGTGCCTCAAGCTTATATTACCTAATCTGTGTAAATGTTTGTGTTTCTAAGATTAAAAAAGAAGTACTTGAGAGAGTCACAGCAAAAAAAAAATATTCCAAATGACAAAAGGAAATCTAAAGAATTTACCAATATTCAATAAGTAGGAATTTGAATATAGGTAGGTGCTTAATATTACGAGTGCGTATTGGTCGGAATGCGAGCGGAACAATTTGCCAATAATCCTATCTTGATTCTCGAGGAAGTTAAGGTGCCCGATGGAAATTCGGCATAACCTATAAATGTCAAATTCTTACACGTCACTAATTTTGTTAATTTACTTTCATCATTGTCTCCTTAAAGAGAGTTCCTAATCACGTACAAAATCGTATTTAAACTAATTTTTTTTTCATTTGTTAATATAATTTTAAAAAAAGTCAATAAGAAAGATGGCTGGCAAGTTCTTAATCTCAATCTTTGGCGATGAATCACAAAAAAGGAATCAAGTTTTTTAATCACTATTTTTGAATAGTCATTGAAATGTTTGTACCGGAGTTGTGACAGAAATAATACCTTTATGTAAATATAATTATTTTAGTAAATTCATTGAAATTATTTAGAAACCTACGTGAAAATGAAAGAGAATATTTAATGGGAAACAAATAGTTTAAACAATAATATGTCTACAGATTTTTAATATAAGATCAATTATAAATTATAATGTAAAGCAGCGTAATTCATTATTATTGATATCGGAGCTGCTTTGTGAGCGGAATCGTTGGTTGTTACTAATAAATATGCTAATGTCGGCGTCTCTGAAGGATTTTCACGGATTTTAATTTTCTCATATCTGAGCTAAGCGAAATTTTTTTTAGAAAAATATATAATAATTTGCTTTTCCTCTAAATCTGTTTTTACCGTTAATGTCTTTGTTCATGAGAAGACTGGCAATGATTTGTATACTTTAATAAATTTTGAATTGAGCTCAAAATTAAAATAATAAGTTTTTATGTGATTAAATTCATAAAATAAAGGTTTCTATTTGTAATAAAGAATTTCTAATTTTGCCAAAAATTCATTGAAAGTACGATTTTAGTTATACCTATCTACAAATACCAATCTAAGAAGAACAATATTTTATCATTATAATAATATCTGGAAACAAGTAAATTATAAAATAATTATGCAACCTTTTTACAGAATAGACTAAATGTTATAGGTTTAAAAATAATTATATTTTGCAGTTGACAATCTCATGTAATTTTGGATTTTAGGCTTTGTGTAGATTTTTTGTTATAAGAACAGAGTCTTAAAAGTTCTTTATAAATAAATATTAAAATAAGAAAGCATCGCCAATGCACAGTATTAAGAAAGCAATATGTTCAAAACTGCCTCGTATAATACCAATAAGACTCTACTCGGGTCCAAAACCAGCTGCGACCGTTGCAAAGAAACCCTCGGATCCAAGAAAGGTGTTCAAAATTTACAGGTTTGGAGGAATCCTTAGTAATGAGAAACCGGCATTAAAAAGTTACGATCTAGACGTGAATACATGCGGACGGATGGTTTTAGACGCTCTCATTAAAATTAAAGATATGGATCCCACACTTGTATTTCGAAGATCCTGTCGTGAGGGTATCTGTGGGTCATGTGCTATTAATCTTCAAGGTCAAAATTGTCTCGCTTGTATAACCGCAATTCCTTCTGACAAGGTCGTAACAATACATCCCATTCCTCATATGTATGTGATCAGGGATCTGGTCGTAGACATGACACATTTCTTTGATGTTTACAATAGCCTACGTCCATATTTGGTTCGAAACAATTCTGGGGCTCTCGGAAAATATCAGTATGCACAAAGTGAGAAGGATAACTCCAAATTAGTTGGTTTGTATGAGTGTGTTCTCTGCTCTTGTTGTGCTACAGCTTGTCCCAGTTATTGGTGGAATGGTCGACGTTTCATGGGACCAGCGTCTTTGCTCCACGCATACAGATGGGTTATAGATTCTCGAGATGACGACACCGAACAAAGATTATTTGAACTCCGAGATGACTTTAAAGCTTTTCGATGTCACACTATATATAATTGTACTCTGGCGTGTCCTAAAGGATTACACCCAGCTCTTGCTATTGCAAAACTAAAAAGGTTAATTTCAGGATTGGATAAGAAACCACTACCTGAAATGGATCCTATGAAATTTGCTTCGGGATCGCTGTCCGGTTGTAAATGAAAATTTACTGTCACATTTATTTAATCAATACTGTAATCATAATTTTTGTTACTATTTTTAAAACAGAAAAGTCAGAAATATATAATTAATAAATTAGATATAAAATGTTTTTTTTGTTTTGCAAAAACTACTACGATGGGGCAAAGATAATACAATGAATTCAACACGTTGAAAAAGGTTCGTTTCATTTTCTTTCGTTTCTATATTTTATTAGTTTCATCAAAGAAACGCTATCCTCGCGGGGATTATCACGGAATCGGTATCTAAATTGGATCTGAGTTTCCTCTTTAATGATACATCAAAGTCCGCTTTGATCGAATGTTTGTGAACGCAATACGCAGTATCTGTCAAGACTCAATACCCTCCAATACAATAAATTATGCTAACATAACTTGTTTTTCGGAAACCGTTTTATATATATAAAAAGACCATTCACATGACTAGGTACTGTGTTATTCGTCGCGAAACCGAATATGTTATACAAAATTGTGACATATTGTGTTGCGTGGTAGCAATATTTTTAAAGTTCTTGTTGAATTTCGCACAGCAGTTTGAGAGAATTTAAAACACGTCAATCTCGCTCGAAAGCAGGTTTCCGGTCGACAATATTTTTGTATAAAAATTTTTGAATACTACAGAGTGAATTACAAGTAGGTATATAGTATAAAAAATTAACTTAAATCAGTTGAACTTTTAGTCTTCTGTGTGAAAATAGTCACTAAAAAGTCCGAGTCACTGCAAGAAACACTAACTTTGAATAACTGAAGACTTAAATTATTAACTTATAGATGAAATTACAAAAACTGCTTTTCTCGTCCGTTCAAACTGAGAACTAGGTTATTAAGAGTTTCGAAGTGTTTCAGATTTGTATAGTATTATATTTAAATTCAAAATCGATAGACTGTAAAAGGAGACTTTTATTGATGCTCTGAAATTTAATAAAATAGGTTTATCACTATTATAGAGAAAAAATGGCAACAAGATAAAGAACATTAACAAAATACAATTCAAATTATCATATGGGAACTATTTATCATTAAGGTTACTTAAGCCAGATAATAAATTGTTGCGACTGGTATTACTTTGGAAACATTCTCATCACTCAAGGCATGGTTAACATCTAGTAATGAACCAGATAAATTATGCACAATAATTATATATACGTATAATTATGTATATATGTATTATACGTTCACATATGTTAAGAACATATATTTTATACTATACAAATGTGTTTATATAATTGGTTTTTCAATTAATATAGACGATCCGTTATTATTTCTGGTACATTTTTATTGTAATTTATTTGTAGGACATGTTTATTTAAAAAATGTATCAATGATACTAGACAGAACAATAATTGTAATCTAATATTATTCAATATTTTAAAGATTTATATTTACATCGAATATTTCGTTTATTAATTATCATCTAAAAATTAAGTTCTCAGACCCTTTAACTGTGTATTTACTTATTTTCTAGTTCATAACATAACTTTTTTAAAGATGTTTTTTTATAAGAATACCTTTTTTTTTAACAAAAAACTTTTAAAAGCCCAATTTAATTATATTATTATTATAGTCTCTGTTCTTATTTTTTTTATATCGTAAAATCACAATAGTTTTTCGTTATTACTAAATAAACATATGTCACCGATGTCCTAAATATGGTTGGGTGTATTGTAACTTATCTTCAAAGGTTCAAGTAATCCGATATTATGTTCTTTTGTAGAACATTAGTGTTATACAAAGTAATTATTATTCAGCTTAGAAATAGGCAATGAACGTCTCCATATATAGATTGGCTTGACTTAGAGACTTTTAGAAACTATCGGTGTGAAATAGCTATTACAAGTGACTTACGTTTGATTAGTTTGTGGTTTGGGAGCCCTAAGTTCCTATTATTTCCACCCTGTGAAAGTCACAATTCCAATATACATTTTTTCTTTCCTAAATCCCAATAGACACCACAAGGTTACGTTTACTCAATAGACACCTGTAGTTCGTGGAAGACATGCGCTATGTATTGTGTAACATAAATAAATTAAAAGTAAGAAGCCCTTTCAATAAACAAGTTGTTTGTATGTACTGAAACAAAAAAAAGAATACTTAAAAGTTTTATTATCTATTTAAATTATATTATGTAGAAACTTGTAGAGAAATGAAGTAGTCATTATTTATACTTCAAAAATCAATCACATCAAGTTATTTAATTAACAAAACAATCTCCAGATTTTGGAAAAACAATAATAACATAAACAAATTATGCAATAAATATACAAGTAGATCGTGAATGTTTTATATGTGTATTGTTTAAATTATACATAGTCAAATAAAAACGTGTTTGTTTCAAATGGTTTTTGCTGTTGATTGATATTGCTACCACAGCATTTTGTGTACTATACAAATCCAACATTATATGAACACACCCTTCTTCGTTCTGCTATGATTATATTTTAATGGAAATTTGCACATTTCTGGGTTCAACGATGTGAAAACCGTCATTAAAATTTGCATATTTTTTTAAAACTCGCATTCTAATTCTTAGTAAGACATATTTTAGACATTATTTAAAGAAGTTGGCCTGTCATATACATGTAAAGTGACGTTACTTTATTTTAGAGTTCTTCTTAGGAAGTGCTTCCATTTCATACCCATATTATTGGAGCGCACTAAAGATTACTAGTCCGCCATCTTGGATAAGCAGAAATGTTTTATTAAAAATCACGTCAAACCCATTAATTGTTTATAAATTAGAAACGAACGGTTTCAGACATCTGTTTTACTATTAAGTTAAGAGATTTTTGCCCAACAAAATATTAAAGAGTACATGCAAGGTACCTAAATAAAATGAGATGTTAGACTTTCACGAGTATTTTATTATTATTAAAAAACGGCATATTCCCGACGTTTCGGTTACTTTTCAGCATCCGTGATCATGGGCAGACGAGATGTGATTGTTTGTCAGTTAGTCTTCTTATTTATCACCTAGCGCCAACGATTTCTTAATTTCCTGGCGTACCGCTTTAGATGCCGGCAGAATGCGTTTCACGAAGTCTTGCAGTGTGGTCACAGACATTTGATTTTTTATTTTATTTTTCAGGAGGGGTCCTAGGTGTAGCATAGATTTCGTCTAAATCTTTATTGAAATTGAGATGTTTTTCTTTTAAATTTCAATAGCTTCACCGAGTAGTAAACCGAAAAATATTATTTTCTTTTAAAAGATCTTAAACAAAAATTTCTTTTTATAGGATATTAAAAAAGGTCACTCTAACATTCTATATTGGTAGGTTAAAAACATTTTCTTTTCGTATCTATTATTGATTATATTAAAGAGTAGATGTGAAATCTTTTTTGGATACGTAAATGTTATTTCATTTACGCTTATAATATTTGAGCAAGTGAATACCGTGATCCTAAATAAGTGGAATTGTACCTGACCGCAATCCCCATCTAAAATTGATTTCACAGCAACTGAATTCAAATTGTATTTGGAATCGGGCAAGTTTATTTGGCAGATTTATTTAAAAATCACTTTGACCGCCACAATGCCGTTTTAAATTATTCTATTTACAACACAAATATTATGATTACGTTATTTGAAAGTCTTGATAACTATAACTTAAAAACATACATTAATTAAAATAATATTTTTCTGTCAATAAAATCTAAGGCAAAAGGTTAATATTTTTATTCTTTAAATCTAATTGATATCTAACATCCAGTTAAAATACAAATAATTTCTTTAAATTCCATTTACTAGATATATTTTTTAATAGATTTATTTAATTTTTCTATAAATTATATTCTAAAAAGGGAAATTTTAGTATTTTGCCTAAAACTTTTATATGTGCCTCTATTGTATCTCATGTTCCGTGTGGCAGCGGAGTAGTAGAAAAGACCGCATGACAGAAAAGTCAAGAATAATATGCTAGTGGTCTATGTAGATGTATTCTGACAATTTCACACAAAAACCCATATATTAGAGTATTTTGATTAAAAAATATATTTTGTTCCGTTTCTAACATGCACATGTGAATTGGATGGTGATATCTATAATGTATTCACTATAACTATACTGATGGAAATTAAAATGTACCGTTGGAGATTTTGTCCACCATTTATTTCTTATTATCAATGTCTTTCTCAATTATAAGGTCAAGATCAAAAGAGACACACACACACACACATACACACCCACACACACAGACTATCCTTTTTTATTTAAAGCTAGTGTAAGGTGTTTATTTACGTAACTATTTTTGAATATATCAGTTATATTTATTTTTATAATCCTGCTGTACGTACGTATATATATTACTGAACTTCTCGTAAAGGAAAAGGTTGCAAGGTAGGTTATTCTATGTATTGTCTTTACATAGTGTACACAATGTACATTTCTCGCGTAGTAATTAAAATTAATTCTGATAGTCACGCGGACGAAGTCGTTGAAATAAATTAGTATATATACATAAAGATTTATTATTGTCAAAAGTATTATTACGTGTATTAGAGAAACCCTTCTACTTGGTGGTTGCTACATTTCTCTAGTCTATACAGTTGAATTATTATATTTCAGTATTTCTGTTGGAAACCTCGCGCTCTCTACTCTTAGTGCAAGGTAACCTCGTCAAACTAAATGTCAACTGTCTCTATATTATTTATGCATCTTGGTTACTAGATAATAGGTAACTATCGTATTCAGGTAGATTTATCATTTTGGAATTGTAAACTGTTGGATTTTAATGTTATAAAGGAATTTCAAAATAATGTTGCTTAATTTTGAAGGGATATTTTAAATAATATAATATGTAATTCATTGTTAAAACTACTTATATTTTACTAGTTTTAATGATTTTCTATACTTTAAAGTAAATAAATATACGTAATAGTATAGATTTTAAACATATTTGTCATTAACGTGCTTTAGGGAATATATAATACTAATGCATTTGGTAGGAAAATATATTTAAACATTGAATTAAAGCGGTGGCAATTAGG